TGTGTTGGAATATTGATGGAATTGCATTGACTCTATAGGCCACTCCTGGTAGGATGGCCGTTTTTACTTTATTAATCCTACTGACCCATGAGCTTGGAAGATCTTCCCATCTTCCTGTTATCTTCTTCACATTTTAAACTTCTTATCATGCAACTTTGCAGTGGGATAATGCTCTGTTAGACCCTAAAGATTTGTCACTCGAATTGGTTTAATAAAATGTTGATTGGCCATTAGCCAGGGAAGAATTATTGGTGGGGTGATCAGACTAGAATTCTGGGAAGAAGGAGGTGGAGTCAAGAGTTGCCAGCCAGATGCAGAGGAAGCAAGATGAGAATGCCACACTGACAAAAGGTACCAAGCCACGTGACTAGACATAGATGAGAATCATGGGTTAATTTAAGTGTAAGAGCTAGTTATTAATAAGCCTGAGCTATTGGCCAAGCATTTTTAAGCAATTATAACATGAATCTTAAAACGTCTTATTAATAAAACAAACCTGGAGCCAGGTATTGGGGTGAATGCTGGAAGATCAGAGAGACAGAACAGGCCACAGCTAGTCTCACCTTGCCAACTTCTCAGCTGATCCTATTTCCTCAAACTGGAAGCCTCTGAGTCCTAATCTGGAATGAATCTCAGCTGAACTGCTGCTAAAAGCCTGAAATCTTAACCAGACTCTAGTTCCTGGTCCTCATACCTTCTATATCTTTCTGCTTCCTGCCATCACTTCCTAGGATTAAAGGCATGTGTCACCATGCCTAGCTGTTTCCAGTATGGCTTTGAACTCACAGAGATCCGGATGGATCTCTGCCCCCAGAATGCTAGGATTAATGGTGTGTGTGTGTCACCATTTTCTGGCCTCTATATCTAGTGACTGTTCTGTTTCCTGATCCCAGATAAGAATATTAGGGTGCACAATATATTGGGGAACACAATATCACCACAAGTAATCTCAAAGTCAATTATTTAAGAAGAGGCTGCCAGGTATTTGGGAACAGGCAAGTAGGAGAGAAACTTCTGCTTACATTTGGTGCCCAGACATTTGTCAAGAATCTCCACATAAAACATGAGAGAGCTTAAAAAAACAACAAACAAAAATGGTTCTAAAATGGAGCAGATTCCTAGTTCATATCTGTCATTTCGGGCTGCAGTGGGCCTCCACTGAACATAGTGGACTCCTGCAGTCTCTCACAGGCTGCTATAGAAACAGGCTTCTACCAGCCACTGCCCAGCCATGGGAATAAGAACATAGCTGCATGCTACTTAATACTGCTTCCCAAAATTGGGGCAATTCATCAGTGCCTCTGCCATGAAATATACTCTCAGGAAGCCACGGAGTGAGGTGGAACCAGCTGCTTTACTCCTTGCCACGCCTGCTTAGCAGGTTAAATGCTCGTGTGGTCAGTAAAAGATAGAGATATGCAATAAAGACAGATGCAGACAAAAAATGAAAAAAAAAACTCTAAAGTGTTTACATTGTGTTTAAAGATATACATAGGCTTGGGAGAGTAAAGAGAAGGTATAGACAGTCATTAAAAAAAAGAAGTATATACTTTTAAAATAATAAAGTCCTTAAAAAGGAAGTAGAGTAATGTAAAGAAGGCCACATAAAGATGGATTATACACAGAGAGTCTGGATACTGTATGTTATTGTGTTGTCTTTGAATTGTTTGACACCTGAGGAAGGAGCAACAGCTGCTAAGAGACATTTGATTATAAACATTGTTGGATTAATGCAACCTATATATTTTGAAAATGCCTTGACTTCAAAATTTAATTCAAAAGATATGTTACTTTGGAGAAGAGGTTATGCTTCAATTTCCAGAGGAAATGAAAGGTTGTGGGTTCATTTTGTGTTAAGAAAAATCAGATTTGATTAAGGAAGACCCCCTGAAAAATCTCCAATGGGAACAGATGACCAAGATGGCCCAGATGATCCAGTGTTTCAGAGCGACCCTGTTGCAGTTTCCTCCGAGTTCTGCATCCAGAACAGCTTCAAGGCTGCTGGCTGAGATGATCCAGAACCACAGACTCTTCCAGTCCAGGACTTGACTATAATCCTAAATTTTCTCTGGTTCCCCCCAAAATTACCAATGTCACCAATAAAAGGAAACTGTCTCAAGAACTATACTTACATTCCCAAAAATATATTATGAATGCTTGTCTTTGTTTAGTGGGTTGGTTATGAATTGTAATTGGTTATAGACAATCTCTTCCTAAAGAAGAAAGGAGGATAAGATATAGAAATGATAGAATAAAAGTGAGGATTATTGACTCTACTTTAATTAAAAAAAAAACTATTGATCTTAAATATTTTACAATGGTATGGGTTCTGGTTTATTGATACAAATTTAAGGCCAATTTTGTTTAAATATATGTATATTTCTTGCTGGGAATATGTGTTGCTCTCATTGGTTGATAAATAAAACTGTTTGGCCAATGGCAGGGCAGAATAAGGTTAGGTGGTACATTCAAACTGAAGACAGAGATGAAGAAGGGTGGAGTCAGGAGAGATGCCAGTCTGCCACCCAAGGAGCAACAAGATGCCAGCAGACAAGTAACATTGCAGCCACATGGCAACATAAAGATGAATAGAAATTGGTTAATTTAAGATGAAAGTTCTAGTTAGCAAGAAGCCTGAGCCATAGGCCATACAGTTTGTAGTTAATATAAGCCTCTGTGCGTTTACTTGGGAGCAGCTGCAGGACCAGGTGGGACACAGGAAAAATCCCAACTATATCTTCTAATCTTGTTTAGGGTATGATGTTTATGCAGCTCATCTAAAAATGCAATATATAGTTAA